TATTGTGGTACTAGTCAATTAGTAGTTTTCATATTTCGTCGGCAGATCCACCATATGGTAGGTAATTCGACTTTCCATCATCTCCATACTCTGCATAAGGTTCTGACTAAAAAACATGTGGAAAATTTCCTGAACCTCGATGTCGGTGAACTTCTAATTTTCAGCCTCGATCTAAATAGCATTAGTTATATCAGAATTACTTAATGTTTGGAATGCATAATTTATGGGTACAGTTTCCATTTCTGCAGGTGTTGCATTCGTATCTGATGGGTTCTGATCAGAGAAAGAAGTAGGCTCTTTATCCAAATCAGGATCATTGGTTTCTTTAACATAAGAGTCCAGAATTGTGGAATCCAATAAATAATTTATGTCTTCATTTTGTTTTGACTCTTCGCTGTCACCGATAATGGGAGGTAGCATCAAAAGACGATTTGTTGAGTTAACGGACAAGGAGAGGTTGAATTGCATTCCAATGAAAAGTTTAGGCTCCAAATTAGTTTTTTCTGTCAGCAATAAACAATGAGGTCTGGGTATACCAAATGGGTAACTACGAAAGTCCGGTTCAGATAGTAAGTGCGTTAACTATGATGAAGCGATGACTGGACGTACCTTATAAGTCGTCTCTGAAGACCAGTGATTATGGTGCTGCGTCAAAATCTATATTTCTCAAATCCTCGAAAAATAAAACTCCTTCTTTGTCTTCATTTCAATCGTCGTAGGTCACCAATGTGGGAGTCGTAATGAATATAAAAGTATAACCTCCATCGTATAAAAATATATAAATTTGATTCATTATAAAATATTACTGATATGAAAAATATAAAATGACAAGTCTAATTGTTTTCCTCTCATGACTAGCCTGCTTGATTCCCACAATATCAAGGAACTTATGGGCTGTTGACCAAATACCGTGTAATAAGAAGTTCGTGTAGTCGGGTCTACTGTATAGTCAACCCTCGGCTTACACGGCACTCATGGTACACGGTTCCCATACTACACGGAGCTAAAAATCCCTCCGACTACACGGACTTCTTATTGCACGGTATTTGGTGAACAGCCTATAAGTTCGTTGTGCAACCTATGAGTGATTCTAGTAACTTGATATCAAAAAAGTATTAATGTAAGTTTTGTTATCGACTTTTATCTTTTAGGCTATGTCTGATTATATAATAGCTGCCTAGGAACACGTTTGAGCTGACAACTGTGTCGCGCCAATTTTTGAATAAGGTGTCTATATCATTTCGTCCGTATTACTCCTACTTCAAGTTATATTTGTGGGTCTCCATACAGCATGATAAAAGTGGTGCGATTTGTACTAACTCTGAGTCTCTCATAGCACGGTTCCCATACTGCACTATGTAAGGTTCTATAGAACGCACTACGAATTAGCCTGAATTGTATGTTAAATATAAGTTTTTTATAGCACGGTCCCCATACTGCACGGTACGCACTTGCCGCGTAAAGCGAGGGTTTACTGTATATGGATCACAAACTGAACTGGGTTACTCACATCCACTAAAAAATGTAAACAAGTCGACAAAAGAATAAAATCACTCTACTGGTTATTGGGCCCAAAATCCAAATTATCACTAGAAAACAAGCTCTTGCTTGCTGTATAAGGTACTAATCAAGCCTATCTGGACGTAGTGAATAGAACAGTGGGGATGCGCTAGCAAAACCCGAATATTACAACTTCAAAGACTGCAGTCATAAGCATTACCAATGGTATGGCACTGGCCTCGGATACACGTGTATTTATGTATAATATTTTATTTATCAATTACTTTTTATCTTTTATTCTTTTTATAAAAAGAAATTACTGACATTTAGTGCCTGTCTCCAATCATTAATTCTTACAAGTTGTATTAATATGTGTTAGTGATAATCTAAGAAATTCAAAACCTCTGACGATGCCGTAGAATTTTACGTCGAAACGTATGGAAAAATAAAGATGTTTTAATAAAAAAATCTTTACCTTACATATTTTTCTTTTGATGTTACGCCCTCCAAGAAATCAATCATATATATAGATATATATATATATATATATATATGAGTAAGTTATTGTGGGGCGATACATCAAAGAATAAAAAGCAAAGATTTATAAATTAATCTTTAATTCCAAACGTTTCGACATTCAATTTAGTGTCATCATCAGTGGTTATTAACGTTGGTAGGTTACATCTAGAAAGTGTACACAACACTAGAAATTAGCACTAACATTTATACGACTAAACTTGTCAACACCATATATTTTTTATAATTTATTGTATGATGTAAAAAGACAAATGATAATTTTATTTGAACAAAAATGTGAATAACGTTAGGTCATTTCTGCCACGACTTCTGTACTTTGCAAGCTGTCAACACCATGTATTTTTTATAATTTATTGTATGATGTAAAAAGACAAATGATAATTTTATTTGAACAAAAATGTGAATAACGTTAGGTAATTTCTGCCACGACTTCTGTACTTTGCAAGTTCCGAGGCTTATGTCAACACAATAACTTACTCATATATCTCAACATCAAAATCAACAACTAAATCATATATATATAATATATATATATATATATATATATATATATATATATTTGGAATAATTTTGCAGCCCAATCGTCGAATTAAAAAAAGAATAAATAGAAAAATTATTTATTCTATTAAACGTTTCGACACTTGATGTGTGTCATCATATTGCCCTCCTATTCTATGTTTTCAATAGCGGTGCATTATGAACACTGATCAAGGCTACGCAGCAAGTGTGATGATTGAGTGGAAACGGGGTGTGAGAAACAAAAGAGGAAAGAGAAACAGGGAAGAAATATAACGAACGAAAGATTCTAAAATACCATTGAACACGAACGATCACGTTAACTCGGTGTATTTTCTAAGAGCAATTGTTCAAATATCAACTATTTTTATAATTGAACCAGTTTCCGTAGGACTTTAATGGTTTAGTATGTTCATTAACCCCTTAACTTACAATTTAGATTCGAAAATTTTGGGCCAAAAATGTAAACAAACAGGCGCAGCGTTCGGGCCCGGTCGCACGACTCGTATGACTGACTAACCCGGCCGATTGTAGACATAACGGGCATCGCCCGTCAGGAGGACTTGTGATGTAATTCTATTATTCTATTACCTTTTCGTATCGTTAACAGTTGCTAGTAGTTCTTGATCAAGCTAGCAAATTAAAAATTACGTTCATAAATTCTAGATAATATATCATACCGTTACCGACTGCTAATTTAGTATTTTGAAGTTACTGATTTTGTATTTAAGAGTTACTGATTTTGTATTTTAGAGTTACTTATTTTGTATTTTTTTTTTTATTTTTATATCTTAAATTTATTTTAGTTTAATATAAATATATATTTTATAACACTTGCGTCTACCACAATTATTGCATCGTACTGTAATTGCGTATCAAATATTCAACGTAATATTTACATCTGTCTCGATTACAGCGCGCGGGCTATGTCCGTAACATTCACTTCTGGCTCGATCATCGTACGCGGGTTATGCCCGTAAAATTTAAGTTTGGCCTAGTCATCGCACGCAGCTCTGCTCGTCATTTTAAGTTAAGGGGTTAAGACCAAGCACTCTATCGTTATTCCAAGCAAATCGTCTAATTTTCTCAAACTTTGATGAATTTTTAAAATTAAACTACTTGTCGTAAGACCGTAATATTTCAGTAAGTTGTATAATACCATGATATATATCGCCAAAAAAGTTCCATAAAAATCGGCTTAAATTTAAACTGTTTCGTATCATTCTCAACTAATATATCTTTTGAAGTTTTTGATTTTTTAAAATCGATTCGGTAGTATGAGCTTAAATGTGGACGAAAAGTTTAACACTTTTTTTCAAATTACAAAGAAACGGCTCGGGCGATCGTCGCACAAAACTGAGAGACGATAATCCTCATTGAGAGACATCAAATGATTCAAATGGCTTTTAAATTTCTGAAATCAGTTCAGGCATTTTTGAGAAAACGTCGATCAACGGTCTAATTTTGACAAATTCCAAAAAACGATACCAATTTTTGCAAACTTTGACGAATTTTTAAAGTTAAACGAGTTGTCGTAGGGTCATAATATTTTAGTATGATCTATAAGACTATGCTATGAGACTATGGTATCTACCGTCAAAAAAATAATAATAAAAATCTTTGAAATTTTTTTTAACACTTTATTATAAGAAAACGGCCCGGCCGATCACTACCAAAAACTAATCAGCACAATTCCCAACCAATATCTTTCGAATGTTTTGAATTTTCAAAATCGATTCAGAATTGCGGGCTAAAACGTAGATTTTTTTTTCACTTTTCTGCTATTTATAAAGAAATGGCTTGGCCGATCATCTCACAAAACTGACAAACAATAGTCCTCAATCGAGGTGCATCAAATTTAAATTATTTAAATTCTTTTTTAACGGCTTTTCAATTTTTGATTCGGTCCAGCCGTTTTTGAGAAAACGTCGATTTACGGCAAAAAATCTGTTCACATACACACATACACATACATACTGTTTTCAAATTTGGTCTCATTCGATTCAGAATGGCTCAAGACGTCGAGAAAGCAAAATTAGCAAATCGGATTTTTTGATGAAAGCATTAACTTCCCCTTCGAGAAGTTAAAAAAAAAATCTGGTATGCGCTTCTACAAAAGCTTTGTTTCAAACACTTGTAATAAATTATTAACATTTCATCAAATATAAGTAGAATTCAATCTAATTATACTAAACGTTCTACTCATTATACGAATTTTATTTATGCCATAATAAAAAAATTGTGAAATTAACAATATTAGCCATGAACAAGAATTAACATATAGTAAGAATGGATTTAACTTAATGGTAAATCATAGATAAGAAAATAGGGGTAAATGATGGGTAAATTAGTTCAGTCATTTATACATAAATCAAAAGTACCTATTCATTGAGCACAAGAATTAATAATAAACGAATGTCTATGAAAAAATTATTAATATATTCCGTTAGTACAAAATTATCACATAAACTATAAAATAAACAATAATCATGTCAAATGTGACAATTAACATAAGTAAATATTAAACAACATATTTAAAATACTAATATTTGGCATCAGAAGTGTTCAGATAATATTTTTTCTATTATATTTTCTCCATTTAAAATTAATTGTGTTTTATAAGGACTGCACAAACTCATGAACTCAATATCAAATATAGTTAGACCGTCCCCTGATATTTCTTGCAGCTTTTGACCAATCTCAAAACTCAAACTTGATAGATCATCTGGAATGAAAATGTAGCACTGCTTAGCTAGTTGACCAATATTATCCAGAGATGCAGGCATATCACGAATTTCTTTAGTAGTACCGGTGTTGCCAAAATCTATGAAAAATACTTCATAACAATCAGGCAAAACATTCAAGATTGATGCTCTGTACCAAAGCATATCATCGGCAAACTGAGCAACACAAACAACATCTTTTACAGGATTTTTGCAAACAGGAAATGAAGCAGCATTTGAAAGAGCATCTTCCAAAAACTCTAAACCAGCTCTATCACATTCAAGCTGCACATAAAATTCGTTGAGATCTACAAAATGGCTAATGTAACCAGTTTTTTTTTGAGTCAATACATCACTATCTGAGCATAAAACACTAGTGTCATGTATATCACTCACATCACACGTAATACCATGGCCATTCCTTATCAATTGCTCAGTTATATTAATGCCATCATGTTCTAACTCTACATAACAACATTTTCCTATTTTAAACAAAACATTTTGTTTGAAAGTTTCAGAAAGTTGAACAAATTCTTCAAATTCTTTGCACGCATTTTCACTCCAATCATCTCCCTCTACTGAAGCAGCTAATAATGAACACTTTGTAGCAAGAGGTTCAATTTGTTTTAATTCACCATCAAGATCTTTAAGTAAATTATCAGAATTTTCAATCACATCCGTATTTCCAAAATCAATAAATCTTATAGTAGTAATATCACTATCGGCATCAAGAATTACTGCTCTATACCATAGATCATCGATTGAGTATTTTGCAACACATATTCTACCGACTTGCAAATTTGTCAATGATGGCAATTTTTCAGCTATATTTTGCAAAACTTCTTGCAGATGTAACAAAGCTTCCTTATTACTGGCATCTTGCACCCAAAATTGGCTAGGTGAATCAATATGAGCAACAATAACTAAATCACATGTCTGAGTTAATTCTGTTTGAATGGAATCCTTATGGCCAACATTGTTGGATTTTGAAGATATTTCAGGTGCAGGATGACTTTGTTCATTATTACATAATTTGTGGCCAGAAGTTAGATACCACATTTTGCCTTTCCGACTTAGATTCACTTTAATCAAATCATCACTAGCATCATGACAAAAGTCATTGGAAGCAATTACTTCCAAACATAACATATATAATTCATAGTATGCTGTAGAAAGTTCTTTAATGTTATTAAAAGGTAAAAGTTCTTCATTACCATAATCAACATATCTGACAAGATAATCATTCTCCCTCGATTGAATGATTATAGCCCTATACCAATTACTGTCCAATAAAGATTTCGCTGCACAAACATTTCCTTCAGTTAACTCTGTCTGGGGCATATCACCTAAAATATTGTACAAGATAATAATTAATTTTGCCATATTGATGGATAGATAGATAAATAGATATGTATTGCAAGATTTTAATTATATATATATATATATATATATATATATATATATATATATAAGTCTAACAGTCAGGCATATCATCAATAAAAAACAAATTTCTTTTACATCCATATGTTTCGGTTATAATCCTTTTCAATTATTTTAGTTTTCAAATTTCATTTTCAGTTTCCACTGGATGAAGGCTAAGATTATAGCCAAAAAGTATGAATATAAAATAAATTCTTAAAAGAATTGTTTTTTATTGATGCTGTATCTGATTCTTAAACTTTGTTAAGACATATGTCAACATATTATATATATATATATATATATATATATATATATATATATATATATGTCTTGAAATGTTTATTTGCAGCCAAATAGTCCAAATAAAAAGCAATAAATATTTAAACTATTCTGTATGTTTTGACACTGTATGTGCGCCGTCATTCAGCATATTTAATAAAATCACACAAGAAAAAAAACACAAAACATAATATTTAAAAAATTTAAAGAACATTGTTTCAAAGAAACAAGCAATTTGTTGCAGGACCATGCTTTTTTAAATAATAAAAACAAATAAAATATTTATTGCTAAGATAAATTATATATTCTCTAAAAATATTGGAATTACTAAATAAAAAGTATCTAAATTATTACTGTATTAGTTTAGTTGTTTAAAAAAAAATCTAATGAATATGGTGCATATCATCAACGTGCTTCGCGCGTACATCCTCATGGCTTGAAACGTCGAGAAAACATAAAATTTGTGAATCGGATTTTTTTATGAAAGCAAACTTATCCTTCAGAAAGTTAATAATAATATAAGAAAGTCAAAATAAATTCTCACCATTATTTTCATAGAACTGAAAGAGGTTATCTAATAATTCCGATAGAAGCGTCATGTCTGAATCTTCCTGAATAAATGCTTGATCTCCATTTCGATGACTAATGATCACATTCATATTTTGCCTATATACTGGCTTTGCGCATAGAGGAAATACAGAAGATATTGACTCATCTGATGAAAAAGGAACAACTTTACACCCAGAAGAGTCGTATAATGTCACAAATAATCTGAAAAGCAAAATACATTTTACATTATTATTAAATAAAATTTCTATAACACTAGGTTATATAAGCACTTATATAGATTATATTAAAAACCTACTTGGTTCCTTGGATTTCATTAATATATATTATAAAAGTATTATTTTCTGTCATTTCACAAAAAGATTTTCTCATCTTGTTGTATTCGGGATCATTTTCATCACAGTTCCATTTATACAATCCACATTCAAATTGCGAATCTGTTTGAAACAAGTTCACAAAAAATATCTGAAAACTTTTTACTCCTAAGATTTTTCCTTTTATAAACTGTCCACGAAGCAAGTCAAATTCAATATCTATAATATGGAAACTTAATTATTTTTGAACTCATATTGATCAAAAATGTTAAATATAAATAATTTCATATAGCTTTAATGAAAAATAATGTGTTATCCTATTTAGTTTATTTGAATGCAAAATTTAATATGAAGTTACTGTATGAAAAGTTTTATAATATACATAATTTTTATAACCAAATATTAAACATGCTTTAAAAAATATTTTGTTATCTAATCATAGTTTAGCAAAAAAAAAAAACTATATACATAATTAATTTTTGTACTCTCAAAGTTCAATTGATAAATATTTAATATCGTGTAATATATATTACTGCTCAAATCTTAATATATCTTACCATTCCTTATATCTTCCGAAGCAAAAATAGCAAACCCATTTTCAACTAGTTGTAATCCAACATCAGCACCATTATGACTTAATTCCACATTAGTGTAGCCACTTGCATCAGTCTCATTAAACATACAATCATAAACATTTTGCTTGAAGAAGCCATATATCTGTGGCAGATTTGATTTATCCATTCTGATTGGAATAATGCTATTGATTTTACATTTTATAGCAAATGTTGGCTCTAATAAAAATTCATCCTCTATTGGAAAAATATCAGTAGGTCCAACAATGTCTTTGAAGCCATAATCAACAAATTGAATCAGATATCTTTGCTCTTTAATGTTCACTATCCTTCCTCTATACATAATATTATCTTGTTTATATTTCACAATCACAGCATCTTCTACTTCAGCATTGAACGCATTGCTTTTAATTTTACTGTACTTTGTTTGAATATTCTTCATCAAATCCACCAATTTTGCATCATTACATTTCAATTGGCAATGAAAATTGTGGGGATTGACAAACCAAGATACAGCAACTTGTTGCATAACTGATGGTAAATTATCCTTAAATCTTTTACTTTGATGCTGACTCATAAAACATTTTTGTAACTGAGATGATCTAAAAAAAAAGTATAATATTCATAAATAGACATGTGTAACACAAAAAACTCATAAAATTGAACTAACTTACAGTGCATTTTCATTTGTAACTTTCAATGAATGTTCAGTGGCAAAACCATTGGGGACTATTGCTTCAGGTGTGGTATTTTGCAAATTGTTTAATTGTGGGGTCTTTCTATCATTATGACTCAAACCTTTGTTTTCGGAAGCAATAAAACGATTCTGTCTCGGCGATGATAACTCAATAATTCTTTTTGATACGTTCAAGGGGGGTGTTATGTTTGAGTCCACTAAATCAACTACGGCACAACCCGTGTTAACATCATAATATGCCACCGTCATATTTAGAATCTTCTCTAAACACAACATTTCCAATTGTGTTGTAGTAGATTCATTTTGATTAATGCTGTCTAAGCCCGTTAAACAGCATAGAAGTGCTTGGGCTTCCAAACAAGATATCAATTCCTCACTCAATAATTTCAAACAAGATATATCTACAGTTTCACAATTGCCATAATCTACATATTGAACTTTTATTTTATTATCATGCAATGATAATATAACAGCTCTATACCAAATTTGATCCTCCAGATAGAGAGCTGCGCATGGCATGTTAACTTGCAAATGTTCTATAGATAATCCTTCAGCATTCTCACAATAAATGTTAAGTTTTTCCATTACATTATCTAATTGATCCTTATGTTCATATAAATGAATATAAAAATGTGACACTGTTTCTATATATGATACCAAAACATTATGTTTGGATCCCTTACAAACTTTAAGTTCAGCAAACGTAATATTATTTTTTGGTAGTTGAATATTGCAGGCTGCAGAAATTGTTTCATTAATTATGTCTATCACGTTTTTTCCATCAAGAAAAAGGTTACAATATTGTATTGCTGAACCCTTTGAAGGTAATACTTCTAGTTCTAATACTTGTTGATTTACAATATTCCAAAAATGCTCATGCATTATCTTTTTGAGCGTAGGATCTAAAAATAAACCATGCAAAGCAAATCTATATGCATAAACCTTATCAAGAATGAATTCAGCGTCGATTTGGAAAACTTTTGCGAAGGAAACCATTTCCGTTGTACCATAATCAATTGAATATAACTTCAGAGAATTTATATCCCCTACACCCATAACTGTGGCCCGATAATATAATCCATTTTTGAATTGACCTAAAAAAATTATTTTACAATATCAGTTATTTCTGCATTCTGCAGAAAATTAGAATGAAGTAAGAAACAAAGTTATTTAAATTATTTTAAATAATTATAATTGGTTAAAAAGCAACAAGAATATAATATGAATCACAATACCAAAAATTGAGTCACATTTCTATAGTTCTAAATGAATTATTTATATAATTTATAATTTTATCAATTTTAATGCAATCCAACAATTGAAACATATATTATTAAATATGTAGTTAATAATTGCAAGTTTTTATAGAATCAATTAAAAATAATTTGTATGATTTATAATAAGAAAATGAGCAGAATAGATTTTTCCTTACCATGCATAGAAAATATTGAGTATGCTAAAAGTTACTATTCCACATAATTGAATGAATAAACAATAAATATATGTATATATAAACAAAAACAACATTCTAAAAAAATCTATTCCTTATTTGCAATGTTTTGATTTTTTTTCAACTAGCATTGCAAATTACTCATTAACTGAAAATCTGATTCTCAACTAATAACTTTTAGCAGCAACCTCAAGTAGCATTTTACTAAAGAAATACTTTGGACAGCATAAGCTTACTAAATTTATATAAAAAGGAAAGAAATCCATACCTATACAGGTCGATCCATTTATTGGAATTTCATCAAAATGATATTTTTTACAATTATTAATCTGAATCATTAATTGTTCCAAATTTGTTTGTAGTGACAACAATTGCACACAACAAGTAAGTGTCTCTTCATCTATAGCTGAGACGATGACCATATGTCTTGTATGCAATTCTAAAGGTGCTCGGCTTTTGAAAGTCATCATCAAATTTTGTTCAGAACAGCATTTTGAATTATCGAGCAATTGATTATCCATTATATTAGAACACTATATAAATAAATCAATTAGTCTTAGATGGGCTGTTTTGCTGACTTTTCAATCATTTGGTCGAAAAGATATGAACATTTTCTTAAATAAATATCACTAGGAGGTTATAAAATAGAATAGTTCCATGTTAATTGAAAACAACAATTATGAAAAACAACAAACCAACATGACTTAAAACAGTGAACTAGATTTAATACTAAATAAATAATTCAATTACTTATTCTATAAAAAGTTGGCTAAAGATAGAACATAAATAAAAATTCATAAATGGATAACTCACCATTGAAATGCCAATATTTTTTTCTTGTAAACTTTCAATTAAAAAGTTAAATCTTCGTAATTATTATCATATACTTGTACGTGAGTTATATCTGTTACTTGTGAGCAGTTGAAAACAAACAAATGAAACTGCGCGGTAGCTTAAAAATTTTAGTCAAGGATTCCTTGATTGTGTCACTCATAAAAATTGGAGTATTTCTATAAAAAAAATCATCGACGATCATTCGCATTCATAAACAAAAACTGACAAAGTAATAAGATTAACACTAACCTCAGATCATTAACCCATACAAAAGAATGATTTATGTGAATAGTATTCTGTCAAAGTAAAATGTATACGTTAATAACTCGAGGCAGACAACTACAAAGTCGGTTAGTTTTGAACGTAGGACACATAGAACCCGAGACAATATTAGAATACCATGTGTCCATATAGATAGATGTTTCCATGGCCGGTAATCTCGGAACAAACATCTGTAATCTTGTTTTTAGTTTCCTCTCCCTCGTTTGGAGCGCTGGTAGCGCTACAAAACGGGCTAAAGAAAATATTCGAGAATCTAATATGGCGGAATAATAATATAGTGTCAAAGTGTCAAAAGTGTTTGTTAAAAGTTTATAACAAATATCATGTCAAAGTGTGGTGTACAACAATGCGGAACACCAACAAATATGCGAAAATGATGTATTTCCTGCAGAAAATGACGTAATATGTAAAATGATTAGTTAAATAACTGGAGCCCGGGCTGAGCACTGATGGTGAGAACTAGGTGAATAAGTTTTATCAATATGCACACAACAAAATACTCGCATCTATTACTAGCACTTCTGATATAATTTTTTATTGTAGCTTAATAACTGAGACATTTAACAGTATTAATGCTAGGAATTTTAAGGTTATAAATACAAGAACCCGTCTTACTAAATCCCTTTCTGGAAGGTATGATATTGAAAAATTATTCTTTTTATAACACTTTTTGTATTATTCTAATATAACATTTTATTGTAGCTTTCTTGGACTCTACAGTAGTAGGACACAAGGAATGTTTGAATCGTCTCACAATATATATGCACATACACAGTGGATAATATATACATTTATGTACGTTTCTATGCTATTTATGCATAGTTCATGAAGCTCACTAATCGTCATATATTTATATATATATATATATATATATATATATATATATATTTATATTACAGTACACATTATATATGTGTATATATACAAATATATAATATATACATTTATGCAAATTACATATCTTATAAATATGTATTGTAATAGCATAATGTAACATGTCATTGTTGAAATTATACGCTTTTTTATATTCAATTTTGGTTTTTTTAATTTAAAAAAAAATTTGAATTCAAACGGTCTATATAATATTGGTGCATTTCTTCAGCATTTTATATTCGCACCCATGGTCGACGCTGGCGCCATCTACATTGGGGAAGGGAAAACTAACCCGGGCAAATGGACAGTTTTGACCGAAAAACGTGGCAACGAAATATGGCACGAGAGAGCGATCTATATACTCTTCTTTTATCTATGGATGTTTCTCTCTCCCGATTTTTACGTTCAGAAGGAATACTTAAAGGGTCCTCCGCTCGACGTGATGGCGCTGCTCTTGGCATTCAAATTAATACACGAGTATTTGAAACCATTATGTTTACTTATCTATGTTTGAAACTAAATTTGGTATTACAATCGTATTATGTTTTGCAATAATACAATAATAACAAAAATATACTAGATATTATTATATTATAATAAATATACAATCAAATCGAAATATAAATCAACAAATACACTGCCGGTTTATATATAATAGACATCACATTTAATCTACTGGAATAACTTCTACACTTTTTCTACTTATTAATATAAATATTTAGTGAAATTTAGTGAATAATGCATTATACTGTTATAGTATAGGAGCCAGCAACGTTTTCAAAACAAGCATTTTAGTCAGGCTGGTTTTTTGGTATGTGGTCCTTGGTGCTCTCTCGGTTAGGGCAAGGGCCGTCTGGCAGCTGGAAGTGGTTGCGTTAATTAGTGCGCAGCCAATTTGTACAGCGCGATTTCAGAATTTTGAAAGCATTTTAGTCAGCCCAATTTTCGTTTTTTTGACTTCGAATAGGTTCACCAGACTCAAATTTTTTGTTGCCAGACATTTTGGGCGCTGCTAAATATGTGCCAGACGCCAATTTATTTATTAATTTTTTAAAAAAATTCAAATCATTTTAGTCCGTCTGAAATTTTAGTATTATGTTCGTTAAGGGTAAAAACACGTAAAATTAATTTGCCAGACGTTTCTGCGGTTGTTAACCATGTCTGGCAAGCAAAAATGTCTGGCAATATGATACTAGTTTATAGCATTTTAGTCAGTCCAATTTTCATTTTTTGACTTGATATTTGATTTGATAACTTGAATAAGTTATCCAGATTCACATTTTGTTGCCAGACATTTTGGGCGCTGCCAAATATGTGCCAGACGCCAATTTATTCATTAATTTTTTTTAAATTTCAAATCATTTTAGTCCGTCTGTAATTTTGATATTATATTCATTAAGGGTCAAGAAACATAAAATTAATTTGCCAGACGTTTCTGCGGTTGTTAAGCATGTCTGGCAACGAAAAAAGTTTGCCAATATGATACTAGTAGACAGAGTGAGACAATCGCTAAATACATTGGCGCGAATGAAACAAAAAACTATTATACTTGTAAGAGCGCTATACGTTTACTAGGCAGAAAACCATAAGAAAAATCAAGTAACTACATTAGACAGATGTGTTTGTTATAAACTTCTCTGCAAAATTGTGTTCATACCATTTTTCTTTAGAATCACCGTTTCTTACAAATTGCCATCTGGAAAGTTAAAAAATTCATATTTCTCATAATATGCAGCCTTTATAAATACATCATCAAAGGTGAATTATGAGTGAAAAATAAAAATCCATTGATTTGTTTTGGATAGATGAGTTTAACGAGTCTTATGATATATCACATTGTAGTATTATTGTCCCAGTGTGGGAGGTTCGCATACCTGATTGTTTTGAAGGAATTAATCAAAATAATTATGTATAAATGAATGCGGGGCGTGTTACAACATCCAAAGTGCACAGTTATCATATTAAGCCATAAGACGAATAAATCTGTACAATAGACGTTTTTATTCGTTGTTAAAAAAACGATATTCCCAATTATAATCTTGATTTAAGAGACCTAGGTCGAATGACTATCATTATATAGTGATACATATTGATCTAAAATGAACCCATTTGAATTTTTGAATTATTAAATACACTTCGATTTTTAAAAAACATTGCTCAATTTACAGCTAAAAGCTGAAAGAAAAAAGAGCGGAGAATGCTTGCTGTACAATATATATTGTATATATTATATATATACTAGAATTTTAAGATTCTATTCTAGGGGTAGCTCGAACTGGTAAGGTAGCAAAACTAGTATTATCAGTATTAAGTATAGGTATGTGTTAAAATTAGTTGCTGCTAAAGCCATGTAATATGTACATGCACCAATAATATAACATGTATCATGTAAAATGAAGTCATTCGACTCAGTTAACTTAGTGATAAAAAAAAATTGCGTACAGCAAAATGATTATTGTCAGTTTTCATTGCAAACCTTAAAATATATGATATTCTTAGAAAATTGACGATGTTACTTAACCACTGTCGAGTCAAATTTTTAAAAATATTAACAGCAATATTTTAGAATCATTAACATATTTTTTACAGCTAGTAAAATTAAAAAAATGACTAATATGATGCAATTACTTTGTCTTTTCTAATTAGGTCTTTATTTAACTTTATTTTATTTGTTTTATGAAAATGTTATTGAAATTGCACTAACTTTAAATAGCGCTCTTACGAGTATAATAGTTTTTTTGTTTCATTCGCGCCAATGTACATGTATTTAGCGATTGTCTCACTCTGTCTACTAGTATCATATTGCCAGACTTTTTTCGTTGCCAGACATGCTTAACAACCGCAGAAACGTCTGGCAAATTAATTTTATGTTTCTTGACCCTTAATGAGCATAATATTAAAATTACAGACGGACTAGAATGATTTGAAATTTTAAAAAAATTAATGAATAAATTGGCGTCTGGCACATATTTGGCAGCGCCCAAAATGTCTGGCAACAAAAATGTGAATCTGGATAACTTATTCAAGTTATCAAATCAAATATCAAGTCAAAAAATGAAAATTGGACTGACTAAAATGCTATAAACTAGTATCATATTGCCAGACATTTTTGCTTGCCAGACATGGTTAACAACCGCAGAAACGTCTGGCAAATTAATTTTACGTGTTTTTACCCTTAACGAACATAATACTAAAATTTCAGACGGACTAAAATGATTTGAAATTTTTAAAAAATTAATAAATAAATTGGCGTCTGGCACATATTTAGCAGCGCCCAAAATGTCTGGCAACAAAAAATTTGAGTCTGGTGAACCTATTCGAAGTCAAAAAAACGAAAATTGGGCTGACTAAAATGCTTTCAAAATTCTGAAATCGCGCTATACAAATTGGCTGCGCACTAATTAACACAACCACTTCCAGCTGCCAGACGGCCCTTGCCCTAACCGAGAGAGCACCAAGGACCACATACCAAAAAACCAGCCTGACTAAAATGCTTGCTCGAAAACGTTGCTGGCTCCCGTACTATTAGTTCATTACATCGTCTGACATTCTTAACTCTACCTAATAATCATCCCGTGCAAAATTTGACATTCTAAAGCCGGCAACAGACGTAACTGTATGCATGTGCAACTGAATGAATGCGCAAAATACCAAGCGTATTTTCACAGTGCTCACAGACGGCTCAAGTTTATGTTCAAGTATTTGCGCAAGCATATCACAAATGTCAACTAAGAAACGTCAAGACATAACCTAAAAATATATCTTTTTTATTAATTCATATATTTACAGCATCAGAAGAGAATTCAAAGTGTTCAGAGGGCTAATTTAATAACTTTTAATAGTCGATAACTTCATAAACTTGTATTATGAATTCGCTACAATAATAAAGTAAAATAAAAACGGGACATGTGCTGCCACACGCGGCCAACGAATGAACTTGCCGACTTGAATGATTGCGCAATTAAAATAATCGAAAAGTGCTCATGCCTACTCGCTTGCACCAGTCTGTCAAGTTGCGCAAAAAACACCCCACAGACGCTACAGAATGCAGGTGCAAGTCGCAGGTTGCGCAAGTATACAGTATCGTCTGTCGCCGGCTTAACTGTAACGTCAGCTTACTAAAATTTTAGATTTTTTAATATTGGTACCGCGATC